CTGTTTCAGGAAGTAGAAGCCTGCCTAAGGAGTGGGGAGTGTAGGGCAGGATTTGGAGTCTTAGCGTTTATCATATGCAAACATCTCGCTTCTTATTGGCTGACAGCAACGGAATGATGGGCAGCACAACTCAGTTTTGCAAATCTGCATGTAAACAAATGCAAATCTGAAAAAAAAATCTTTATGATGGAAAATTGTAAAAGGAAAATATTTTGGCCATTATGGATGACATCATTTTTCTGTAAAACTGAGCAAACTCTCAAGCATGGGAGCAGATGAGTTTTGGTTTGGGCTCTTATTGCAGGCACAGCTAGTCTTAACCAACACAAAAATGTCTTAACTCTTTCACTTTCACACAATTTAAACTAAATTATGGTGTCATACGTGCTAAAAGTCATCGTCATTTTAAACTCTGGGTGTTACAGATTGTGTAACATCTGCATAGCTTCTAAAGCCTTCTTTCCACCGGACATGAAAGCGTCGCGAAACGGCCACAAAACAAATTTTGCAACAATTGGCTGTCATTATAGTGGACGGGTTCTTTACCACCCGTTTGAAGTACATTTTTTCACATGCAACGCTTCCAAAATACATCAAACTCCCCCATTTAGATCAATCCAGACAGGAAGTCCAACACTAACGCAACATTAAGCATCCAGAAACTTTCAAAATAAAAGTCACGTGTAGATAAACATACAGTAGATAAACCCCTGTAGGCGATATAAACAGAACAGAAAATAAACCACAGACCTTTTTGCATGCAGTTGTCTTTCTCCTTGCTTGTCATTGTGTGGATTTCTGAAATCACATTTGGTGTTTCAATTCTCTCGTGATGTTGTGACTTAGTGGGACCGGCAGCATGTAACTATGTAGGTTTTTGGTGCAGTTGCCTAAGATTGCTTCATATACTCGTCTAAGTACTATGACATCAAACAGCATCTTATGGAACTGCAGACTTTGAAAAATTTGTTTCCAAAATTTGACCAAAACTTTAAGTTCTTATTTTTTTCACCATACGACGATTTTGGGTTAAGATTCTGGAATTAAAGGGCAAATTTCTTTCCTTCAAAGAATGTTCAGATCACGCCAAGCTGATGAGTCATTGCATGTTTGCTTTTGCTCACATCTTAATTTTTGTTAGAAATTATTTTATCTAACAAGCAGCTACATTTAGATTTTTTGCCAAAATCGGAACAAAGCAGTTCCAAGTAAAAATTTTTTTAAAAAAATCACACAAACATTTGAATAAATAAAAGCAAAGTTATAGAAAAAAGAGCTTTATGGCATAAAAGCAACAAAAGACAATTGAAAACAAATAGCAAAAGTTTGAAATGTTACTATAGTCTGTTTCATAACTCACGGGAAGCATTAAACTACAATCAGAATCAGATTTCTTGCCACGCAGGCTCATCTACTTAGAAATTTGTTTCGGTGACAAGGTGCAAACATACATTCAGGTCCAAGTCAGGTCAGGCAGTACTTACATTCGGAAACATCAAATAACAAGAAAAGAAACAGCAAGGAAGCAGTCATAAGCGTAGGAATGTGGGTGACCGGGGCATTTATGTTTGTTTTGGCCATTCATTGGTTGTTCAGGAGCCTTACAGCGGAGGGGAAGAAGCTGTTTTTGTGGCATGAGGTTCTAGTCTGTAAGGACCTGAACCTCCTCCCTGAAGGTAGGGTCCACGGCCAGGGAGAGGGGTCAGCGGGTATAATCCGACACATTCTCACACCCCAAGCGTCGGAAACAAGCGCTTGGTCAGCCACCCTCCACGTCAGACCCCAGACGCCAAAAGTGCCCTTTTTCGTTACTTATGTGCGAAAAGGGGTTTTTCCCTTTTGTAACCGCAGAGCCCAATGCAGCGTAAAACTGACGTGATTAGATATCCGCTGATGCGGCACCGAACCAGCTCATTTAACCGCACCTAAACCTTAACGTTTCACTATTTATAACCTTCCCCTCTCCCTCATCCTAACCTTAACCCTCTTGCTACCTAAAACGTTACTCTCACTGTGATCAAGCGTTTGTTTCCCATGCATTCTGACTCTGACAGTCAGAATCTGACTGCCAATTTTCGCATTTGCCGCCCAAGGGGAACGTTAGAACATACCATCTGGTGAGGGGGAGGTTACACATACCCTCTACTTTTAACCTCCACCGTGCTAGTTGAAACCTCCCCCTCGCGTTGGCTCGGTCCAAACTCGACCAATGACAAGACGGCTCCCTCCGTTCACTTCATAGAGTAGTGATGGGAATTCCGGCTCTTTTTAGAGAGCCGGTTCTTTTGGCTCAGCTTACCAAAAAGAGCCGGCTCTTTCGGCTCCCAAGTGGCTCCTCAGAATTTCTGTTGCGTAGAGTACATTTATAACCAAAATAATGCAAAACTATATGTAAAATAATTTACCAATGTAAAAAAATGCTATATATCAAATATTTATCATTTCTATGGATTTAATTACTGAACACTTTCAGAAATCTCCACTTTCCGACTGCTGGCGCTTATTTTCTCACCGTCTTCATCACACTCCTCTCTCTCTCTCTCTCTCTCTCTCTCTCTCTCTCTCTCTCTCGCCTTTTTCCTCCTCCTCATTCCCTCTCGTCTCCCTCCGCCGTATGTGCTCTGCTGTGTGTCTGAGTCTTATCCTCCCTCTTCCCCGCCCCTACTGCTCTGTGTGTGGACAGTCTGGACACGCAATTGCATATGCTGACCAATCGCCTGTAGCTTTCACCAAAGAAAAAGGGGGAGGGGGGGGAGGGGACGGCTCCCAATGACGAGCCGGCTCCTGTCGTTCACTTCAAAGAGCCGGCTCTTAGAGCCGGTTCGTTCGCGACCGACACATCACCATCATAGAGCCGGCTTTTAGAGCAATCGACACATCACCAACGTGTTCGCTAGCAAGATGGTTAAGGTTAGGATAGGGGTGAGGGGAAGGTTAAATAAGAGGATAAGGTTAAGGTGAGGTACAATGAGCTTGTTTGGTGCCCTGGCTGCGAACATCCCATCGCGTCGGTTTTACGCTGCATTGGGATCTGCAGTCAAATAAGGGAAAAACCCCTTTTCGCACATATGTAACGAAAAAGGGCACTTTTGGCGTCAGGGGTCTGAGGCGGAGGGTGGCTGACCAAGTTTTTGACACGCTGGGAGTGAGAATGTGTCGTATAATCCGACCTGCCCATTTCAGAAGCCTGGAGTTGTACAGGTCATGCACTGATGGAAGGCTGCATCCGATTACTTTCTCCGCTGAGCGCATTACCCGTTGCAGTCTTTGTTTGTCTCTGGCAGTGGCTCTTGCGTACCACACTGATTCGATGATGGCCGTGTAGAACTGGATTATCATCATGGCTGGCATGCAGAGCTTCCTCAGTTGACGCAGAAAGAACATCCTTTGCTGGGCCTTCCTGATAAGTGTATTGATAAAGTTTCCTATTTGCCTTAATTTGCAGAGATATCCAGCTGCAGCATTCAAGCTGAAGAATGAAACTCGCTACTCACAGAAGCATCCTGGAAGGAGAGGATGAGGACACAAACTCCTTTGCTGCTCTTTATCACGGGCAGGTAACATCAGCGGAGGTCCTGATGTGGTGTTATGATAAAATAAGTTAAATTTCAGCTCTCCAATGTAAAAACACTTTCACGAGAGAAAAGGATGCAGAACGAAGGGCAGCACTGGCTCAGGAGCAGGTCGTTCAGTAATTGCAGGGTTGCCGTTTTGATTCACACTCATTTTGATGTTTTGGAGCAAAACACTTCACCCACTGATAAAAGCCCCTGCCAAACGCACGAGCACGATTCTAGATAACTCATTATTGAGTGCTCATATCTCAGGTCAGACGCCGCCTTATTAAAAACATCATGCTCGTGAAAAGATGATTAATTTCCTGACAGCAGAAAGTTAGAAAAGGCAGAAAATGAGTGGAGAGGTGCGGAAGCGGAGAAGCAAACAGAATAGTTCAGCTGAGAGTAGGACTGTGTGGAATTGAGGAACGGGAGAAAATATTCATTTGAGCAGGATGAACACAGAATGAGGCATCAACAAATATTTCTGCGTGCTGAGACTCAATTTGTGCGTGTGCTCGAGACAAGGAATGGGAAAAATAGATTTTGAGATTTGCATGATTTTTTTCTTACCAAGTTTAGCACACGAAGGTGTGTGCAGCACCCCCTCTGCAGGTAATGCAGACTCTTTGCACTTCGAACTTTATTTACCCTCACTATCAGCTTTGAGTGAGTGTGGACCCTGATGGACTGATCACCTGCCTGCCTCTTATCCTCGTTCAATAATCCTTTCATCGCCAACTCCACACTCTGTTTTGTAGTTTGTTCCTGTTTTCTCCTCTTCTGTCATTTATCTGTTTCTTCTTTCCCTACCGGTGGGTGAGAGATAATGAAAAGCCCCGGCGCGTGGTCGGCAGGCGGCGACACTTTATTCTGCAGCAGAAGGATCTGGGCGCTTTGAAACCTGAAAGAAAAAGAGGAAAAAGAGAATAAAAGGAAACTTTTCTCGCTCGATAATCGTGACCAGTCTAGCCCCCAACCCAAATAGAGATTAATCACTGTTCACTAGGAGTATTACATCACTTTGGAAACAACTGGTCGCGCTTTGCGCGCGCACAGCCAGACTTTCTGCAACAACCATCTCCACAGTCTCTGCATGTAAATCTCTCTCCTGACTCCAGTGGCAAAGCAGCATTGTCGATTCATCTACTTGATTAGACCCCCCCCCCCACACACACACACACACACACACACATACAGGCACGTCAGTCATTGAAATAATATACAGCAACCTTCCTTTCTTTACTCCTCCCGTCTCACTCCCGCTCTCCGTTTCTTTTTTCAGCATCTCTCTCTCTCTCTCTCTCTCTCTCTCTCTCTCTCTCTCTCTCTCTCTCTCTCTCTCTCTCTCTCTCTCTCTCACTGCCTCTCTCTCTCCCTCCCCCCCGTTTCCTCTCTTCCCCATCTCTTTCAGGAGGGGGGAGAGAGCTGATATCTCTGGCGGTTTGCCGCATGGAAGTCGCCCAGGTTAGGCTGAAAATCATCTCTCCCATCCGGACGTTGTCCCCCCCCACCCCCCACCCCCATCTCTTCCCATTTTCTTCATTCTGCTTTCCGAGCGCAGACGCAGCAACACAGTTAGATTTAACCGGGATTCTCCGGGATAGAACGGCATCCATCTGCTGGAGGACTAAAAGGGAGAGTCTGAGTCTCGGCATCATTCCAGCAGAGAGGAGGAAAAAGAGGAGGAAGAAAGGGGGCATTTCTCACTCAGATGTAACAATCTGATGATCGTCAAGTGCGCAAAAGCCGCTGCTTGAAACATTACGCACGGTCAGTTGTTTCCACTTTCTATTTATTCTCCCTTTTCCTCCCTCCTCCCCCTCTCCATTCCCTGCACGGACAGACCTGGGGTCGGCTGTTTGCAGGGGGACCTCCATGGTGTCTGATTTTGCCAAGCGACCCACCGGGAGGCTTGGAACTGAGAGAACCCGTCGCCCTAGTGGAATATTAACCACCTAAACCCGAAAGCAGCCCAGGGGGATGCTGCAGCAGAGTTTGGGACTCTAGAGAGCTTCCCAACTTTTTGGGGGGAAGGCTTCTAGTCTCGTTTCCTCCGCCGTCTCCGCTGGTGGGACTTCTGTTTGGTTTGCGCCTCCTGAGTAAATCCATCATGGACCAGTCGACGTCTTTGGATATAGAAGCGCTCAAGGTAAGACGCGTCACAGGCTGGAGGCGCCAACTGATTCCAGCTGAGTGAGCAGAAGCCCGCTGAATGGGTGGCATGTTGGGCTGATGAGTGACTGGCTGTTGTCTCTGGTGGCTGGTTGGCTGAATCTGGAACTAAGTGACCGATGGTTGGGCTGGATGGGGACCGGGTGGAGGCTGGGACGGAATGGGGCAACCCCTGCTGGTCTGTCTGGGTCATCTGTTGTGCATTTGTTCCCGTGTGTGTGTGTGTGTGTGTGTGTGTGTGTGTGTGTGTGTGTGTGTGTGTGTGTGTGTGTTCCTTTCTGCTTGGACTTCTTGTAGGCATCAGTGCTACCCTGAAAAAGTGGGACCACTTCACTTGGCTGTACAGTCTCTACTGTGCTGTGTGTGTGTGTGTGTGTGTGTGGGGGGGGGGGGGGGGTACTCTCAGGGGGGATACAGAAAAAAGAGAGGAGATGAGGATGCTCCTCTCAACACATCCATTATTGGTCTTTCTTTAAGCTCGTGATCATTTCCTTTTCTCTGCAAAACCAGGGTCGTGGCTGGTCCTGAGCCCCAAGAAGAGAATAAATACTCTTCCCTTGTCGGTGTGAATCTGCTTCTGAGAGTACAGTCTATGAACGATGGAGGATCTGGGTCGTTGCTTACACAGCTTCTCTCCTGCTGCTGTTTCATTTCATTTTATTTTTTCATTTGACAATATCCAAAATCTGTATGCAGTTTCTCTCAGAAGAACTATCCTTCCCTCAACACTTCAAACAGTTCAGTATCACTCTTACAGATGTTGCCTTATGAGTGATATCGCCGTTAAAGAGATCCCAAAGGTGACTGAGCACCATGGGTTCTGGAAACTTATTATAATAGTAAGTTTGAAAGGCAAAGTGGGAGAAAACTGTTGTACTAAACACTTTTCTGCATGTTTTTGCTGTACTTTTAAGAAATGATTGCATAAAAGATAAATTTTATGCATTTCTCTATAAGTTTGACTCTTGAAGTTGTATTTTAAGCAATGATATTTGTGAAAGAGGAGACCTTGATGATGGACTGATGCACAGCTCCAAACTGACTTGACTGGCTGCTTGCAGGTTTTAAAAATGGAAACTGACATTCTGATTTAAAATGACCTCAGCTGCTAGCCAGTGAACTTGACCCACCGAGTTTGGCAAGTGCAGTGTTTTTATTTATTTATTTTTGCGTATGTGCGGTGTGTGTGTGTGTGTGTTTATGGGAAAATTCAATGTTTCCTTGACAGAATTCAGTAGTGATCACAAATATATATATAAAAATAATTAAACACCTATTTTAGTGCAGGAACAGCTGCTTACACATGAACGACAACAAGATGTTGCAGGGTTGTGGTTATTAAACAAAAACAGTCCTTATATCTTTGAATTTTTGAGGGTCCTTTTCAACTGTAAAAAGTTTTGTTAGAATGAATGTTGTTTAATAAGGTATTTTCTTATTTGTGTTTTTAATAACTTTTGATATATATTCTATATTTTGCCACAAAAAGAATTTACATGTACAGATAAAGTTGTGCCACGGAATGAAGAGACACTACTTTGATAAGAAATCAAAATATCCAGCAAGAAAACCACACTGCAAAAACTGATTTCTAAGAAAGTAAACATCCTCATTATTACTCATTTATTTTATTTTTAGTCTTAAAAAAACGTAACTTCTCTAGAAAATAACAATATTTAAAATAAGATAATTATTCTTAAATATGATCCAAATATTTTTGTTTTGAGTACAAAATTCTGCCAATATAGGCCAAAGCTACTTGGCTAGAATTATTAAAACAAATAAATAAACAAATAAATAAAAATCTAAAATTTGATTTATTAGCTAGTTTTAAGAATTCCAAAATGATATATTTTTTAACTTTCTTAGAAATCAGTTGTTGCAGTGCAGTTACATAGTTAGTTAAATATGCAGATAAAGATGGTGTCCGTCCTATTTTGTTTAGTTTGAATAGCTGCACAATAAAACAACGTGCAATCACAATATTGTAGTTGAAAATGTTGATATCAGCTGCAATTTCCATTCTATTTCTGTTTTGTAATGTGAGTTTTAGACCAGCATCTCACTGGGTATTTTAGGAAGCACAAAATTGCCTTCCATTGCTATGCAGACGATACACAGATGTATGTATCTCCCACTAAAATAAAAATGAATGGCTGCATAAATTTGTAGTGGTTTGTTTGGATGAGGAAAACTCTTGGATGGCTTTTAACTTTTTAAATTTTAATGAGAAACAGACGGATAATTGTCTTTGGTACTGGTACCTCCAGCAGGCCCACTCCCATGGACTTAGGCCTCCTGACACTGCACAGAACGCCAACAGTGACCAACTTGGGTTTGAAAATGGACGGTGATTTTAGGTTGGATAGTCAGATCAGTGCTGTTGTCAAATCCAGCTTCTTTCATCTGAGACAGTCGGCAAAGGCAAAGCACATTTTGAGTAGAGAGGATTTTAAAAATGTAATCCATGCTTTTATTACAATTCCTCTGGCTGTAACTCTCTGTATTTTGGCATGAGCCAGTCCTCACTTCAGCGGGTGCAAAATGCTGATGCTCGACTTTTAACTGGTACAAGGAGGAGTGAACACATCACCCCTGCTTTATCTTCACTGCACTGGCTGCCTGTCCATTTTAGGGTTCATTTTAAATTTCTTTTAGTTGTTTTTAAGTCTTTAAATGGTCTTTCCCCGCCCTACCTCTCTGAGCTATTGCACATCCTCCTCTCGGTCGCTCAGGTCATCTGACCAGTTGCCCCTGGACGTTCCAAGGACACAGCGTAAGCTCAGAGGGGATGGGGCCTTCGCTGTTGCTGCTCCCTGACTATGGAACTCTTTGGCAGCACATATTAGAAAGGCCTCCTCACTGGAAACTTTTAAATCATCTTTAAAGACCCACCTTTTTAGCTTGGCTTTCGACGCCGTATAAAGTTTTTGATTTTAGTGTTTTATTTTGGTGTGCTTTTAACTTTATGCTGTATTATATTTTATTCAGTTTTATGTTTTTATGTTCAGCACTTTGGTCAGTGAGGGCTGTCTTTAAAGTGCTTTATAAATAAAGTTGGCTTGGCTTGGGTTGGGTTGGGTTGGGTTGCAACTGACAAAAATTGTAAGAAAATTGATTTGGACTCACTCCTTTAATGACTCTAATTGTAAACTTGATGAGTAATGTTGGATATATGATGTAATTGCAACAGTTGCAAAACGTTTTATTCTCACAGTTCATCACAAAGTGTCATAAATTATTCCTGATTAGTTTGCCATTTGGCCACCAGCCAATCACAAACCCTAACCCTAACTCACACACAAAACTAAATCAAAGTCATTTGATCCAGATGACTCTGACAACTCTGTCATCATTTGCATATTTGAAAGTCAAGTGGTCTGAGAGCAAGGTCCTGTGGCTTCCCAGGAAGAAAATAAGGACCCTCACCATCATTTTGAGACACTTTAGGAAGTTTGTTACAAATGCTGTTTGCAGATTAACGCAGCCCAGTGTGATGCTGGTTTTGGCATTGCATCCCAATCAGAAGTGGTCATGTTGGGCAGTTTGAGTCCATCTAATGTCCCAGTATGTCATGAGACTGCAGAGCTATGAATGAATGGCACTTAGAACATAACAGCTTATGATTTATAGCTGTCCAAGCAGTTCTTTGTGATATTGCAATGGTGGCCATTTAAAAGCATAGATTAAAAAAAATTCTTGGCCATCAAAAGGGGAAAATCACCCCCAGGTTTTCAAAAAAAAAAAAAAAGATTGAGAGATTGAAAAAAAAAAACACCAATCCATGATTTCTAAAAAGGTAAATTCCTAAGTTGTACTGTCCTGTTGCTCCAGTAAACCCCAAGCTATAACCTTTGATTATTTGTTATCCAATCCCAATCTTTACAATCTCTCAGCCTAGAAAATGTAAGACTCATAGACTCTACGGGGAGCTCATCCCTCCATTCAATATGCCAGCTGTTTTCTGAAGACCTGGAGTCATAATCTTGGCTGCTCTGATGATCCCAGACGGTCCAGTTCCTCAGTAGTAAAGCCCTCTAAAGTAAACATATGCTGTGTGTTCCAGTGTTCGTTGTTTGGAGTAAGGGTCAAGGGTGTGTGTGTGTGTGTGTGTGTGTGTGTGTGTGTGTGTTTGGGTGTTTGTTTGGGCGTGTGCAGACATGTTTACCTATAACTGCTTGAGCAAGTCGTTTACAATCTACTTCTTTAAGAACTTTCTCCAATATTTCTCTGTGTGTGTGTGTGTGTGTGTGTGTGTGTGTGTGTGTGTGTGTGTGTGTTTGCCAGGCAGCTGGAAATATAAAAACTAGTTCAATCCAATAAAAAGCCTTTCTCTTCACTTCTTTAAACACATTATCTGCAGACTGAATGTGGTAAACGCAGGTCTTGAAGAGCATCCACACAAACATGGACATCATTTAGCTTTTTGGAAAGCATTGCTGGTGTTTTTGCTCGTTCGTGGGCGTTTGTCCGCGTTTGACCAGAGACGTCCGTGCTTGTAAATCAGTGCAGGTTTCAATATCAATGGAAGAGTTTAAGTGCTATTGATCTTTAGTAATAACTGGACCATGAATTATATGCAGTATAATAAAGGAGGTCAGATTGAATTTGACCCTCTTGATCAGAGGCTTGTAACAGCGGACGTTCATTGAGAGCGCAGAAGTGAGTTTAACTGTTGTTGTGCTATGGAAACAAGACAAGACGGGATCATATGAAACTGTTTCTATGTCACCATTAAGGATGAAAAACACAAAAAAGTGACTATTGTTGTAAAATCAGATGGAAGACCACAAAGAGTTACAATTTTAATCGTAGACCCCAACATGAGGCTGCTAAAGAAGTAGTTGGGTGATTTGTTACCAACTAGAATGATTTAATCTAATTTAGACTAAGAAAATGAGGCAGCAATTGCAGGAGGGGTGCTTTCTAACCATGGCTGCGCTCATTCATTCAACTCCATTTGCTAACCACCCAGTA